AGTACTGAGTTGATTTTATTTATAAGAGTGGTGCGTTGGAATAATTTCAATTTGACCTTTTCTTAAGTATTGCAGTAATCCAACAATTTGGGGACCCCTATATGAGAGCTAAAACAGGTAAAGAAATGTCCGAAGGGACGGGACCGACTATATAGGGTGAGATAAAAAAAAAAACTGCAAAAAAATCAAACGCCAAAATTTTTACATTTTTTTTAAATTTTATTGAATGAAAACAAAAAATACCGGAAATAGCATCAAATTTTAGAATAAGTTTAGATTTGTTCGAACTAGTATCCTTTGGCACGAACTATGACCTTCAAACGGCCAATGAAACCGTCACACGCTGCCCGAATATTGCTCTGTGGTATTTTGGCCCATTCCCGGCGAAGCGCTTGCTTGAGGTGATCGACACTTTGGTATTTTTTAGTGCCAATCTGGCAATCCAAAATATTCCAGACACAATAGTCCATCGGATTGGTATCCGGAGTTTTTAGTGGCCATTGTACGCTGGAAATAAAGCGAGGAACCTCATTTTGTAACCATTCTTGGGTGGCTCGTTATAAGTGCGATGGTGCTGTCCTGGCCTGGATGGTGCTATCCTGGCCTGTCCTGTGGAAATATCCAAGGTCGGCTTTAATACACCCTCCAGAATATTTTCGCGATAATATTGATGATGATTGGTGATGCCACGTTCGCGGATATACGAGCGGAGAGCGACTATTGACTGTTATAGTGGCACACCCCATCACCATGGCCGACACTTGAGTTCTGAGTCCGACCGAAGGTGCACATTTTCAGCTGACCTCTTTGGCAAATAAACACGTTTATTTTTGTTTGTTTACAAACTGCTGGTCAACGAATGTTTTCCCATCGGAGAAAACCAAATGCGGCAGTTCACCACTTTCGGCCAAGCGAAACTCTTTAGCTCTTTTGGGTCTATTTTCCTTCTGTTGCTATGTAAGTTTTTGCACTTTTTGGAATTTCAATGACTTTACCCCGAGCTAATTTTTCAGTATTTGCCGAATGGAACCATTTTTCGGCCACTGTGACACGGGTTTCGATCAAGTCGCTTCTTTATTTTTCGAACCATTTCTGCTGATGTTGTTGTTTTCTTCCGTCCACTTACTTGACGTCGGGCTATGCTACCAGTACCAGCGATGGTACGAGACACAAAAAATTTATTCACATTGAAATGCTGGAGTGCTCTAACAATAGCAGCTTGTGGTTTTCCAGCCAAATATAAAGAAATCACTCGTGAATTCCATGACGAATAACTTTTTTTCTGGAAAATTCTCACCAAAATGCTTTTGTACGCTTGTAAACAATATAATCAGCTATCACTGGAATAATTTTAACAGCTGTCGGACGAGTTGATTTGATATGACAGCAGTCTGAAGTTGGTTGTAGTTTTTTCATCTCAATCTGTATATGAGAGCTATAACTATATCTGAATCAATGTTTCCCGTATTTGAAACACTTGTTCGCTTAATATAATAATTTTCCTTATTACCCAAACAGAGTTCCGATTTGCTCGATCTCACATGCATCCGATATATATTGGGACGTGTCCAATTTGAAGAAGATTGGACATTAGTTTCCCATTTAAGGAATGTATTATTACCTAAAAAATTGACCTTTTGTAGGGGAGATACAGGAATGAGTGGATCAATTTTTCCCATTTTTTATTCTGACCTCAGTCTAATCTGACTATTGCGACGTATATCGGATACTGCATCTGCTCAACATGGGATTTTGATGTTTTGATTGGACCAATATGGTCCATTTCTGCAACTGAACAAGTCTTAACTAAATTTTATTGTGTGGAAAGTTTCAACTATATCAGGTGAGATTTTAATGTTGTTTCGCCCAAATTTTTTGTTGGGTGGGGAGGGGGGTTGGTTTTTTTTGAAAGAGAGAGGACCTTTAAAAAGTCCTCTCTTTTCAGGCCTTCCATAGAAAAAGAATACATTTAACATGTCCTTTATAATTCGGGGAGAGATTACCTTTAACAGGTTTTGTAATATGTTTTCCATAAAAAGGAGCTCACTTACGGGTTTTCCAAAAGAGAATAATATTAACATGTTTTACATAGGAATATAAACTTTTTACAGAAGTTTTGTAGAGAGTCTATCTTGTACATGCCGTCTAAAGATAGATGAAATTTCACAGTCCTTCTGTGAAGAGCAGACCTATTTCAAGTCTTCCGTAGAGACAAAGTTTTTTACAGGTATTCCATAGAAGCAAAAAATATATATTATACTTCTATAAAAATATGACCAATTTCTGATCTTTTGAGAATGTCTCTGACAGATATTCTAAGGATTTTTATTATCGATCTATATATACTTCAGCAGGTATTTTATAAAAAAAAGAATACCTTTAAAAATCTTCCTCTTTTTTACAGATCTTTTGTAAAGCTTTTCCCTACTTTACAGAAGTTCTATAGAAAGAAGCCCTTTACCTTTCTTCTATAGATAGAAGACATAGTACAGGTCTTCCACTCAGAAATCTCTTTTAAGGTGTTTCATAACGCGAAGATGTTCCGAACACCACATTAAAAATCTTCTTCTTTCATTAACCACTCGACGTTTGATGCTCATGATAATATCACAAGACTTATTTATCACGACTTAAATACAAAAAAAAAACGACAATAGCAACAGCATCTACCGCAATTGCGCCAGAACAAGAAAAGCCATTTGAAAGTGTATTTTGTCACCCCCAATGACGCGAAAGAAATGGAGGATATTCTACTTCGTTTTGCTAGCTAATGCGAAAATTGTTATAAAACTTCAAATTGCTTGGTATGTGACTTGGCGATGGAAATGTTTTTGCTGGGGTTTTTGTTTTTGTCAACAAGAAGTGAAAATTACATGCGAGAAAGTTGCATTAAAGTTTATTTTTTTTCCTTGTTCCAAAAAAAAAAATCCAAGTACATAGATGTTGTCTTTTAGTTGTTTAAAATTTCTTAGGGAATATATTCAATTTTTCGTTGACAGTTTAAGCGGGTCATTCAGTTTGTCAGACACATTCATTCACAACACTTCGCCATTTTTGGGTGTTTGTATCAATCAATGAGAGAAAAAGTGAAAATGAACATTTGAACTTTGCATTGTTGTTGCTTTTTTTTGGCTGACAACCAAATTTGGGAGAAATCAACCGGGACACAGAAAAAAGAGGTATGAGATATGAAAGAATGGCGAAGCACAATCAATCGGTATGGGGTCTTAAGAATTAAAGTCCTGGGGGTTTACACTGATGGTTTCTATACCCTCCACCATAGTATGGAGGGTATATTAAGTTTGTCATTCCGTAATATAAATTTTAGACCCCACAAATTATATATATTCTTGATCAGCATAAAATTCTATGTCGATTTAGCGATGTCCGTCCGTCTATCTGTCTGTCCGTCCGTGGAAATCTCTCTAGCTTCCGAACTAATTGAAGTAGGTTGATAAAATTTTACTCATATGTGTGTTTGGTATGCAGAACTTTTGGTATTGAAAATTACCTATATAGGTCTACGTTTAAGTATAGCCCCCCCCCATATAACTGTACCTCACTATATTCGGCATTTTGAATATTTTAGCGACACCGAAATTGTTTCAAATTTCGTATTTGAAGTTTCTAGTAAGTGCTACAGCCAGAAAATTACCTATGCAGGTTCAGATCTTCGTATAGCCCCCATATAACGGTGCTTCTCTGTATTCGGTATTTTGCTGATTTCAGGGACATTACTCACCGTAATGGTTTCAAATTTCGTATTTACACTAACTAACCAGTACTACATCCTGTTACCGTTTTGGTTATTCAACATTTCGACCCTTTGTGGGCGAAGTACCAGAGGGAATGGTCCCATCTCTATTGTGTTAATACAAACATTGAAATGTGCCGGGTCAGAACGGAATTGGATGTTAATTTCGCGTTTTATGAGCATCATGGATATTCAAAAATTTGACCCGTTGTGGGGGATGTACCAGAAGCAGTGGACTGATATTTCTCATCTTCACACCTGATATTGGGTTAATAAAAATACTGGGATGTGTGAAATTTGAAGGGAATCGGAATCTTATTCCATATTGTGTAAACGTTTTGGTTATTCAAATTTTGACGGGGATATACCAGCAGGAGTGGGTTGATAAATTTCATCTTCACATTAGATCTTGTGGTAGCAAAAATAATGGGATGTGTGAAATACTAAGAGAACATAATTGTTATTTCGGATTTTATGATCGTTTTCATTATTCAAAACTTTGACCCTTTGTGGGAGAGGTACCAGAAGGAATAGTCCGATCTCTACCATTTTTATAACATATCTTGTGCTAATAGAAATGTTGAAATGTACCAAGTCGGAATGGAATCGGACATTAATTCCACGTTTTGTGAGCTTCATGGATATTAACAATTTTGACCCTTTGTGGGGAGGTACCACAAGAAGTGAACCGATATATTCCAAATTAACACCAGACCTTGGGTTAATAAAAATATTGTGATGTGTGTAACTTGAAGACATTCGGACTCTTACACCACATTTTATTAGAGTTTAAATCCTTTCTTTTTCTGTGCAGTCAAATATTTTCTTTGAAAATACCGATATTTTGTGAGGGAGGTACCAGAAGGAGAAGACCGATATTGCCCATCTGCGGACCGGATCTAAGTTTGATAATAATATTACAATGTACCAAGCATGAACCAAATCGGATACTACCTTCGAGGGTTATCGTGGTACCAGCCAGCCAAACACGTTTTGGCTGTATCAAATGATATATACCCTCTGATCATATGACTGAGGGTATAAAAAAATACCTCATTGGGTCTATCAACACATTTTCAGCGAAAAATAAATGTTCATCAAAAAAAAAAAAAAAAAACAATTAACAGTAGTGTGAAGAAAATATTGCCTGTCATTAATACACATTTCTTTCTATCAATTTCATTCCATTCCATTTTTTTTTCTAATTTACATTGTTTTTGTTGTCTTCTTTTCACTTTCATTGCAGAAGCCACTGAACGGTGCAAAACCCACCAAATACCATTATTATCCGCACAACCAACACATTTATTTGCTGCCCGAATGTGCCATACAACAGGTGTGCAATGCCGTCTATGTTCGATTGAATTACACCCAACCTCTGTGCGCCTGTCCATCAAGGTATGCTTATCAATGATTTCATAAATTAAAATGTTCACATTAATTATATTTTATCCATTTTGATAAATTCAAACTAAATTCACGATGGATGCATTAGCCATGGAAATATGGAAATATTATTTTTTGAAACTTAAAAATTTTCCAAACTTAATGAAATAAAATGTTGGGAGTCGCATCGAAAATTGAGATTTTTTTTTTTTTTTTTTTTTTTTTTTTTTGATAAAGCAGGCTAACATGGTATCTCCACATTATTTTAGAATCATATGTAAAGTGGCTTTTTCAAATTGTATATTTTTATTGCATATTTTAAGAAGCTCCGAACAATTTTAAAACTATTACGTAACGTAAAAAGTACATTACCATAAATACAAACATTACCATAAATACACTTGTATTTTATTTATAATTATTATTTTACAATTTTCTGTCTTAGGATTTAGTATTCATTGCGAACTTCAAATACCACATTTGAAACAATTCCGGTGAATGATGTCGCTAAAATCATCAAAATACCGAATATCGGGAGGTACCTTTATATGGGGACCATACGAAGACGTGGACCTGCACACACAGTTTTCTGTCTTAGGCTGTAGTATCCATTACGAACTTCAAATAACAAATTCGAAACAATTCCGGTGAATATTGTTGCTAAAATCATCAAAATATCGAATATCGGGAGGTACCGTTATATTGGGGCTATACGAAGACGTGGACCTGCATAGACAATTTTCTGTCTTAGGCTGTAGTATCCATTTCAAACTTCAAATGCCAAATTTGAAACAATTCCGGTGAATAATGTCGCTAAAATCATCAAAATTCGGTATCGGGAGGTACTGTTATATGGGGGCTATATGATAACGTGGACCTACATGACCCTTTTACGAACTTAATCTACCTACTGGCAAAATATACATGTGTGCAAAATTTTAGCCTTCTATCTCAATTCGTTCGAAAGATAGCGTGATTACAACAGACAGACTGACATGGCTAAATCGTTTTAGAATTTTACGCTGATCAAGAATATACTTTGTTGGGTCTGACATGAGTATTCCGAGCAGTTACAAACGGAATGACAAAATTAATATACTCTCCATAGTATGGTGGAGGGTATAAAAATGATATAGATAATGATTGACAAAGTTACTTAACATATGACTCTAATATCAAAGGTAATCTTGTCTTAAATGGAAGTTTACATATCACAAAAGATTCGTACTTTAAGAACAGTGAGGGTATAAAGTTCATATCAGGACCAAAAAGGGTCACTCGCTTGAGTGAACTTCGAATAGAAATTATATTGATATTTTCAAAGAAGATCTGATCAAAAATAAGTTCCATGTATCATTTTATACCCTCAGCCATATGGCTGAAGAGGGTGTATATCTTTCGATACGACCTAAACGAAATAACAATTTTAGACCCTAGGTTTCTTTGGGCGATATCAGTTTCGATAGATTTGGAGTCCATGTAGCGGTGACCGTCCGTCTATCTGGCTGGCTGGGACGTTCAATAACTCTTGAAGGGAGTATTGGATTTCGTCGAAACTTGGTTCATCGTAATATTATTATGAAACTTAGATCAGTTTTGACCGGACCTATTTTGTTTCAACTTGGCAAACTCATTTGTATCAGTGCTAGGTCAGGTGTGAAACTCGACCACTCGTTCTAGTACCTCTCAGACAAAAAAATAACATTTTGAATAATCATATCTCTTATAAAATGTGAAATAATACTAATATTTTTCCCAATATATTTCTAATAATACAAAATCAGGTATGAGGAACAGTTAGAATGGATCACCTCCTTCTGGTGGTTCACCCACAACGGGTCAAGATTTGAAATTATTTTAACCCCCATAACATTTTCTTCAAACTTTATATATCACAATATTTGTATCAACCAGAGATGTGATGTGAATATGGAATTAATGAGACACTCCTTCCGCTACCTTTCCCACAAGGGGTCCGAACTCTGAAACATTAAAACTCTTATAAATATAGGAGAAAAAAAATAGTGGATTACTTCAAACATAATCAATCCCATTATTCATAGATCTAATGTAAATATGTGATATATTTAGGCATATCCCCAGATGAGGGTTAACATTTTGAATAGTCATAAAAAAAGTAAAAAAGTATCAGTCGGTTTTGTCGACAGATGTATACCCTCAGCCAATGTTTGATTATTTAAATATATTTTGACATTTGTTATGTTTATTCAAATTGTTGATCCTCTGTGGAGTTCCGAAAATGGGCCAATATTGTCCATTTCGTATCCGACCTAAATAAATCTGATATAAATATTGCGACGTGTCAGGTTTAGTATATATTGGGTACTTCCTTCACTTTATATGAGATATGTGATCATTTTTAGAAAATGTTAAAATGTTCGTGAGGTGCCAGATATAGTCGACCAAATATTCAATTTTTATACTTCATCTAATACAGATGAAAATACAGGTATGGGCAAAATTACAAGAAAATCGAACATTTATATCAAATTGTAGGCCAAATCATAAATTCTATATTAATCACAGGTTTGTGGTGGAGAGAAATATTTACATGTAGCAAGTTGAAAAGAATCTTCTCTGACTTGTTTGGCAAGTTATGACAGATAAAAGTATTAAAAATTGTGACCCTTTGTGGGTGAGGTACCAGAAGGGAGATATATATCATCTTCACAACAGATATTGCTATAGCAAAAATGTTTACATGTGTGGAATTTGAAGAGAGTTGGATGCTTATTTCGCTTTCTTTGAGAGTTTCGTTTTTCACAATCTTTAACACTATGTGGGGACGGTACCAGAAAGAGTGGACCGATATATCACATCTTCACAGCAGATTTTGTGTTTGTAGAAATAATGGGATGTTTAAAATATTAAGAGAAGCGGATGCATATTTTGGATTATATGGTCGTTTTGGATATTCAAAACGTTGACCCTTTGTGATGGACTTACCTGAAGGAATGGTCCGATCTCTACCATTTTTATGACAGATTTTGTGTTTATAGAAACAATGAAATGTGCCTAGTCTGAATAGAATCGGATGTTAATTTTGCGTTATAATTATGAATAATTGATGAAGTCCACCGATGTTGTCCATTTTCGCACCTGACCTAGCACTGGTGCAAATATCAGGATTCGCAAAGTTGGAGAAAAATCGAATTATCATTTCTCTTTCTGTGCAGTAAAATATTATTTTGAAAATTTCGACCATTTGTGGGGAAGAAACCAGAAGGAGTGGACCAATATTGCCCATCGCCGAAATCGATGTAAGTTTGACCATAATATTACGATGTACCAAGTTTGGACCAAATCGAATAGTCACTTCGAGAGTGAGCACACCATCCAGGCAAACAGACGGACGGTCATGGCTAGACCGACTCCGCTAAATTCATTAAAATACCGTACATAGGGAGGTACCGTTACATCGGAGATTACGAACTTCATATACAACATCTCAAACAATTTCGGTGAGTATTGTACCTAAAATCGTCAAAATACCGAATATAGGGTGTACTGATATATGGGGCCTATATGAAGACCTGGACCTGCATAGACAACTTTCTGTCATAAGCTGTAGTATCCATTACGAATTTCCAATACGAAATTTGAAACAATTCCGGTGAATAATGTCGCTAAAATCATCAAAATACCGAATATCGGGAGGTACAGTTATATGGGAGTTATACGAAGACGTGGATCTGGGAGTTATACGAAGACGTGGACCAATCTTCTGTCATAGACTTTAGAATCCATCTCGAACTTCACATTACCAAATTTGAAACAATTCCGATGAATAATGTCGCTAAAATGATCAAAGTACCGAATATCGGGAGGTATAGTGTTATAGGCTATAGACCTGCACGGACAATATTCTGTCTTAGGCTGAAGTATCCTTCTGGAACTTCAAATACCAAATTTGAAACCATTCCGTTGAATAATGTCGCTAAAATCATCAAAATACCTAATATCGGGTGGTGCCGTTATATGGGGGCTATATGAAAACGTGGACCTACATGGGTCATTTACGAACTTAACCTTGCTACTGGCAAAATAAACATGTCTGCAATATTTTAGCTTCTATCTCGATTCGTTCGAAAGATAGTGTATCATCGCTTAATCAATATAGAATTTTACGCTCATCAAGAATATATATACGTTGGTGGGTCTTATTACATGAGTATTTTGAGGAGTTACAAACAGAATGACAAAATTAATATACCCTCCATAGTATGGCGGAGGGTATAAAAACGTTAAATTATATTAATTAAAATATATATTTAAAAAAATCTTAAAACAAAATGTAAATATTCCTGCTTTAGACTTTCATTTGCGATAATTCACAATGAAATATTTTCTTCCATAGTTGGCTTCTTGACATTTTACCAAAAAGTTGTAATTTATATAATCTATTATTATTTTTTTGCCACTCAATTCTCCGCTACTTCATCTGAAATATATTGTAGATTGAAGTTAACGTATAAACTATTTTATAAATCACGTTCGTTTTGCTAACCAACTTTTTGGACTTGCCAAGAAACTGTATTCGCATTTGTGCATTCAATTTTTTCCGCCACTGTATGCCAACGTTTAAGCCTCAAAAGGTTATTCTGTTAAGCCTCTCGCTTCCATTATTGTAATGTATTTACCATTTTTTTTTTTTTGAATAGTCCATGCATATTCGATGGTAAGTAACAATTATTAATGCTTTCGAAACAGCGTCGAGAGCAGTTCAAAAGAAAACCATCATAGCTATTTTACAGCATAATACGTTCGCACTAGGATTGGTGGTTTTGAATTACGTAAAATACAAAAAAAAAAATATAAATACTGAAAGGAAGATATTTCCAGTTATATTTTTATTTTTTAAATTTTGACTTTTTTATTTTGGAAACCATTCAATAAAATAACAATTCTTCGGAAGACAAATATTCATTAGTGCCCATAACCTTAAAATGGCGAATATTTCAAGGTAATGGAACATTTTAGTTTTACTATATTGGGAGATTTATTGTCCTCTGAGAATCTGAGAGCAAAAAGGAACTTGTTACTTGGTAATGAAGAAACAGTATACAGGGTGAGCTGAAAAAACTGCAACCAACTTCATTGGTGCAACGAAAAGCTACATTAATATAATAAATATTTTGTTCATGCAATGAAAACTTACATTGCTTTAAAATTCAATGATTTTTGGTTTCATTGAATATATGAAATGGATTTCATTAATGTTACGAAACTACTTATTTTTACAAAATTCTGTAAAAAAAAATGTGAATACAGAAATGATGCTGTCTGATACACACAAGTATGCAACCAAAGTATTTATAATTAGGGGAAATTGTGATAATTGTTATATTTAAATTTGTGCGACAATTTAATGAAGTAGTTTCATGAATGAATGAAACGTTACGATATGGAGTTCGTTCTAGGCCAAACAAATGATGCATGGAAAATGTCATCTCAATAAAAGGCGACAATAAAGGCGACCTGCATTTTATTCATAAAAATAAGTGGGCAGACGGTCAGACTTAATGACATTCATAAACCGACTCAGAATGTGATTTTATAAAGAACATCCAAAAAGGTAGGGTTTATCTCGCGTATTTGTACCTGTTACAAACAAATGCACAACGACAAATTACCCTCTACCACAGTGTGGTGTAGGTATTAAGAAGTAAAAAACAGCAAAGTTCGGCCACTTTTAATACCCTCCACCATTTTGAAGGATATCGAAAAATTTTAAAAATCCTTCGAAATATGCCACTTAAATGAAAACCCTTATATGGGGGATACGAAGATCTCGACCTGTAAAAGTATTGTTTGTGTCATATGCTGTAGTACGAATTTAAAATACGAAATTTAAAGCATTTTCAATGAAAAATGTGGATATACAAAGCCATGGACTTATATCAATAATGTGCCGCCACAGGAGCTAGAACCCAATATGAACCACAAATACAAATTTTTGGACAAATCTGTGGAAAAATAATCAAATGAAGAATATCATTATATTAATGAACAATTTCGTTAATTTTACGTTAATGAAACTCAATTGAACTTTTTTCATTCATTCAATGAACCTCTACGTTGGTTCAAAATCAATGACAAATTTCTTTGACGGAACGTAGGAATTCATTTATGATATGAAGCTTTTTCTTTCAGCGTAGTTCGACAGCTGTTAAAATTATTCCAGCGACATCTCATTATATTGTTTACAAGTGAACCAAAGCATTTTTGTGAGAATTTTTTCTGAAAAAAAAGTTATTCATGATGGAATTCAAGCGTGATAGTGTGATTTCTTCATATTTAGCTGGAAATCCACAAGTGGCTATCGTTAGAGCACAGCAGAATTTAAATGTTAATTTATATTTTGTGGCTCGTACCATCGCTCGTTACCGTGATACTGGTAGCGTTGGCCGACGTCAAGGAAGTGGATGGAAGAAAACAGCAACATGAGCAGAAATGGTTCGAAAAGTAAAGAATCGACTTGATCGAAACCCGCGTCGCATTGGCCGAAAAATGGCTCGTGAGCTGAATATATCGCAATATTCCATTCGGCAAATATTGAAAAACGAGCTCGGGGTAAAGCCATTGAAATTCCAAAAAATGCAAGAACTTACACAGCAACAGAAAGAAAACAGACTCAAAAGAGCTAAAGAGTTGCTTCGCTTGGCCAAAAGTGGTGAACTGCCAAATTTGGTTTTCTCCGATGAGGAAACATTCGTTGTCCAGCAGTTTGTAAACAAATAAAATGACCGAAAAGTGCAAGAACTTACACCGCAACAGAAAGAAAATAGACTCGAAAAGTACAGAAGCGACTTGATTGAAACCCGCGTCGCATTGGCCGAAAAATGGCCCGTGAGCTGAACATGTCGCAATATTCCATTCGGCAAATATTGAAAAATGAGCTCGGGGTAAAGCCATTGAAATTCCGAAAAGTGCAAGAACTTACACAGCAACAGAAAGAAAACAGACTCAAACGAGCTAAAGAGTTGCTTCGCTTGGCCGAAAGTGGTGAACTGCCGAATGTGGTTTTCTCCGATGAGAAAACGTTCGTTGTCCAGCAGTTTGTAAACAAACAAAATGATAGTGTTTACATGCCAAAGAGGTCAGCTGAAAATGTGCACCTTTGGTTGGCCACAACAGCCGATGGTCGCTCTCCGCTCGTTTTAATCGAACGTGGCATCAGAATAAATGCCGAATATTATCGCGAAAATATTCTGGAGGGTGTATTAAAGCCTTGAGCACGTAAACATTTTGGCCGCAGACCTTGGACATTCCAACAGGACTCAGCACCATCGCACTCAGCGCGCGCCATCCAGGAATTGTTACAAATTTCCAACGCACAATGGCCACCAAAATCTCCGAATACCAATACCGTTAGACTATTGTGTCTGAAGCATTTTGGAAAGCAAGGTTGACACTAAAGAAATACCAAAGTGTCGATCACCTCAAGCAAGCGCTTCGCCGGGAATGGGCCAAAATACCGCAGGGCAACATTCGGACAGCGTGTGACGATTTCATTGGCCGTTTGAAGACCATAATTCGTGGCAAAGGTTACCAATTCGAACAAATCTCAACTATTCGGAAATTTGACGCTTTTCCAACATTTTTTGCTTTCATTAAATAAATTTTAAAAAATGTAAAAATTATGGCGTTTGACTTTGTTGTAATTCTTCTATCTCACGCTGCTTACTTGTAATGCAGAAAGTAGTTGTTTAGTTTAGTGCCAATCAGAAAACGTGATTGAAGCCTTCTAAATATTGAATAAAGGACAGTTGCCATTACTAGTTGTCGAATATGAACACTCTGTTTACTTGCTGCGATAAAAGTAGGTTAGAAATAACTTTTTTGGCTTACTGGTAATGCATAAGGTATGTAGATGTCATTATTTGTGTCCCCTTGGTAATGCATAAGGTATGCAGTGTCATCACTAGTAGTGCTGAAAATGCTTTATGTCTTGGTGTAAGAATTATTGAATTTCTCTTGGAACGCATTTAATTTTATTTTGCAACTGATTGAGCAAACAAAACTGTGAAAACAAATTTAATTATTTTGTAAATTTATGTATTGAGCACATTGCGTGTTTTAAATGAGTTTTTTAAAAATTTTTTTTTATTTATTTATTAATTTTTTTTTTTTTTTTTTTTGCAGATATCGGGATCCCTGTTCGGCTAGTTTGAATGAAGATGATCAGCATACAACAAAATTGGTTGGAGATGGCAAGAAAAAGGCAAGTACAAATACGAAATTAAGTGAATGCCGCAAAAAAGCCCAAGTGCTTCTATGTGTGATAGATATAAAAGCATTTCTCATTTCACTAAGCAAAAGAAAAAAAACAACACAAACAAATTACTATTACACGAAATGGTAATTACAGTATTGAAATCAAGTGTTCATGTCAGCGCCGGGAAATGTGGATGCAATGTTTCAAATTTAATTTTCTGTTCTGGGGAGAAATCCCCTGGACTCTATGAGGAAATCCCCTGGACCCTAGAGGGAATCCCCCGGATCTCTAGGGGGAAATTCCCGGGACCCTAGGGGAATCCTCCATCTACTCTACAGTAGACGTCCACCGGCTACTTAGCTGAATTTTAACATAACTTTGTCATATTTTTTCAAAAAGTTTATGGGAATTTCGCCATATTGCTAAACATATACGAATTAGCCGAAAATCTCCGAGGCCATGATGGCGCACTCGTAAATCTCTCTAAGTATAATGATTCTGTATTATAATGCGTTTAACGACCAGGGAGTAAGCCAGAAGGGAATGGAGTAGAAGATCCATTGCACTTTCTCCACATTACTCGTTACTCGTAGTGCGGAAAGAGCTGTCATATTTTATCAGACCATATCTCCAAAACAACAAATTATACCAGATGTATGCTTATTCAACAACCCTCAACCCCCTTTCCCCTCATATGAGTGAGATACCATATTCATAGTACATCTCTGGTTGAGAAAAATATAAAGACATATGAATTTTGAAGAGAATTGGATGCTTATTTCGCAAGTTATGGGAGAAATTATGATCTTTGGTACCAAAGGGAGGTACAAAAAGGGGTAGGGCGATATTTCCCATCTTCCTACCAACACAGGGAGGTACCGTTATATGGGTGATATACGATGTCGTGGGCCTATATAGACAATATTCTTCCAGGGGGTAAAGTAATCAGAAGGAACTCCTTTTTTGGATTTTCAGACAATTCCATTGAAAAAAATTGGCAACAATAATCAAAATACCGAATATGGGTGGTACCGTTATATGGGGGCTATACGATATCGTGGACCGATATAGACCACTTTCGATTTTGAACTGCCTGCAGACAAAAGACTGATCAGTGCAAAATTTTAGCTTCCTATCTTTATTTGTTTTGACTCTAGTGTGATTAAAACAGACGCACAGACGGACCGTGCTAAATCTAGAATTTTAAATTTAGAATTGTAGACTTTTTTATATATATACAAATGGAATGACGAACTTAAAATACCCTCCGTACTATGCATGGAGGAGAGTATAAATATAGCACCTGGAAACGCGAATGGTAGAAGTCTAACATTAAAATTATGGGCTATAATCAAACCCTCATTTGTATCTTCTTTTTGGGAACGCGAAACATAAAAAAACGTTAACGTTTAATTAAAAAAAATCTAAAGCTGGAGGAAGGAAAAATTCGAAATATCTTTGAAAACTAATAATCAAACCGCATTTCATGCAACATCATGAATAATAGACAAATGTATCGTATGTACTTCTTTTCCATCCGCCTGCAATTAGAGAGCTATACAAAGATTGATGCATTAATCAGCAAAAACAGTGGACGTTTGGAAAAACAAAATTTGTAGGGGAAGTAGAAGTTCGATGATTGGTATTTGGACAGTAGCATTCTTGACCTTATGGCCAGTCATGGAAATACAAATGTATACAGACGTATACAGAAAATGCATTTCGAAACCATTTCGGAAGGGGGTTCAAATAGCAAAAAAAAACTTTTCCATGTAAAATTTGAAAAAAAGAAAATTTTGTACGCCCCTGGTATGTATGTAGAGAACAGTATGAAATACCACAGGAAGAATGGTTGGATGTTGCACAGAATAACATAAAAAAAACACAAAAAAGCAGAACAAGTCAATTATCAAATGAACACTTATTTAGTTCGGTTCGGTAAGAAGAATCCGATGGATGGTTAAGTCATAGCTTTTATTTTTACTTTTCCATCCATTAAATTGCTATTTGTTGGCATTAACAAGAGCAGCAGCAGATGTAAGAACAGCAACAACTACTGCCATTCAAACTCTTGGACCATGATCCCAAAAGTATTTCTGAAATGATGTTGTGTGTGTGTTGTGGTTTGCTGTGATTTCCAATGAAAATCTCCATAGCTTTGCCGTTGTTAAAGTCCTGATTTTCATTGGAACCCTAAGTCACATAATAATTTTAAGGCAACAGAGGCCATTGCTTAACGTATGAAGGCCAGGCAGGCAGATGGAAAAGATTTACTAATGTTAGAGCATGTTCAAGGGGAAGGTAAATGTGAGAAGAAGGAGGAGTAGTTACTACTGGCAGGTAGATATAAATGAGAATTTAAAAGCACTGTTAGATGCTAGGATATAATTCCTCTGAACTGCAAATGACTATTTAAAGCCATCTGTCCATTGCAGTCATTGGTGCAGAAACAAGAGATTGACGGAGCAGAAGAAGAGGTTCGTCACCAGTCATTTTTTCCAAAACGTCATTTCTGCCCTAACGTTTGCAAGGCAACGAAGTAATGGTCGTGGATCCACCATTATTTATTACTAAAATCACATGTAAGGAACTGAGTGGATCTACTTTTTATGGTATCGTCTTATAGAGGTCTTACTTTCAATTACCCTATAACTGTTACCCCATTTTTTGCGACTTGGGAACTCCAAGAATTATTGTCTTCATTTTATATATTTCTCCTTTTGTAATTGGGATTTTTTAAGGCCAAAGCCACATGCAGCATATAATTTATTTGGAAGTGGTTCCAGGCTCGGTAGTGATTTCATCTGATCATTTTTATACCGTACATAGTATGGAGGGTATATTAAGTTCGTCATTCCGTTTGTAACCCTTCGAAATAATAATTAATACTCTAAGACGATTTAGTCCTTTCCGTCCGTCCGCGTGAGTCAAAACGAATAAAGATAGCAAGCTAAAATTCACAGATCACCTTTTTGTCCACAGGCAGTTCAAATTCGAAGATGGGCTATATTGGTCTACGATATCATAGCCCCCATATAACGGTACTCCTGATTTTCGGTATTTTTTTGATTTAGACACATATTTCAATCGAAACAAGGAGTTCCTTCTGAGTACTTTACCCTCTGGAAGAGAATTGTCTATATAGGTCCACAATACCGTATATCCCCCATATAACGGTTCCTCCCGATATTCGGTATTGTGATTATTAAGACCCTAGATCTCTTTAGGCCAAATCTGTTTCAGGTCATTTGGGGTCAATCTATCGGTGTCCGTCTGTCTGGCTGGTGCGCACGATAACTTCCGAAAGGAGTATCCGATTTGCACATCGTAATATTACTGTGAAACTTAGATCGAATTCGGAGACCTTCTCCACAAAAGTTTAAACTTTTCAAAGAAAATAATTTACCTCATAGAAATGGAAGGATCTTTCGATTCTGTGCAAAACTTGCAAATCCCAATATTGGCCCATCCCATCAAGTATCTCCACACAAAGGGTCAACACTTGGAATAAATATACAGGGTAAGATAAAAAATTGCTACAAAGTCAAACGCCATATTTTTTACATTTTTTTTTTAATTTTATTGAATGAATGCAAAAAAATTTGGAAATAGCATCAAATTTTGGAATAAATTTAGGTTTTTTTCGAATTGGTCACCTTTGGCACGAATTATAGCCTTCAAACTGCTAATGAAACCGTCACACGCTACCCGAATGTCGCTCTGCGGCCACTGTGCCCTGGAAATGAAGCGAGGACCTTTTTTTGTAACCATTCTTGTGTGGCGCGTGCTGAGTACGATGGTGCTGAGTCTTGTTGGAATGTCCAAGGTCTGCGGCCAAAATGTTTGCGTGCTCAACACTTTAATACACCCCCCCCCCCCAGAATATTTTCGCGATAATATTGGGCATTTATTCTGATACCACGGTTGATTATTACGGCCGGCGCTTGAGTTCTGGTGGCCAACCGAAGGTGCACATTTTAACTGAGCTCTTTGGCAAGTAAACACAATCATTTTGCTTGTTTACAAACTGCTGGGCAACGAATGTTTTACCATAGGAGAAAACCAAATTCGGCAGTTCGCCACTTCCGGCCAAGCGAAGCTGAGGGTATACATCATATAGTTTAAACAGGGTGTTTTTTGCACATTGGGTGGAGTACACCCCTATATTTACCAGGTCACTTAATAGCTTTTCCCTGATTATGTATCATATATATTCACGAAATTTTGTGCTCCGATTATCGGCTCGAAGCTCATATATAGACAATAATTTCCGATCCTTTTGCTATATTTGACCTACTTAGTTTCCCAGTGTAAAGGTTGAGAAATCCTTGAAAAGAGCACGTCTTGTACCGATCATTCATTAATCATTAGTTGAACTATTTTATTTTACGTAGGATACTTTCAGTAGATTAAGGCACTCAATCAGAGCAAAAGTCCCTCCACCAGTGCCATGTGTTCTACTCTGCCTCTGGAGGCTAAGGCTTCTAATGCTAACATGATATTTCTCGAAAACTTTGTGTTTTGCCCAGAGAAGCTTCGTATGAATTTTTTTTTAATTATATATTCAAAAATTCATATAATCAACATCTGATCTTTATATGCTAGATTTGGCCCTATAAAAATTGCTTCCAGTGTAAATTGGACTTTTGCAATTATGGATCATACATAACTCTACATGTATGGCATAGCTTCTTTAACCATACACATACCACTACAACAAAAGATCTTCGCTACGTTCCATAAGTATATCATGTCATGACATCCTCAACAAGATTTAAGTTTGGAGGTTGGCCGACTGGCTCTTGTTGCTTCTTCATCGTTTTCTGTCTTTTTTTCCACAACTGCCACAATATTTTTCAAAGGTTACTTAGTGGTGGGTACGGATGTTCAGGCCTGGCCTGGCCTCGCTGATTATTGATGCTTAGTTGAGTTTTTTTCTTTGTTTTGAAAGTTTTAAGAAAAAGTTTTTTTTCCAAGCTTGTGAAAAATATGTGAACAGCTTGGAT